TTTTTGCGCCAAAATCCGTAGGCAATAGGATACCAATAGGGTTAAATTTGGCAGCAATCGGGTAATCCCTATTGAATGCTGTAATTTTTATTCTTTCTATCCTTGAGAAAATTTTGGCACATTAGTATTTTATGTTGATTGATTGTCTATGCCACCAAAAATTTCTGATCCTTGTATTATATTTGCCAACATCTCTTACATTATTATAAACGACTAGCCGATTTTGATTCAATTTCTAGCCTGAAATATGCTTAAAAGAGCAATGATTCTAACACTTCTCTTATCAACCGGCCCGGCCCACAAAGGTGCAGGCTGAGGGCCGACCCGCCCATCGACCCGGCCGTTGGGCCGGGGTTGACCCGTATCACTAATGCCCAACACTTTCATTTCCCCGGTAATCACTTTCACTTCCCTTGATGCCGACATTTTTATCATTTCTTCGTTTTTGTTAAAGCCATAATTCTGTTAAACTAGATTTTTGTTTCTATATATTATAATTTCAAGGTAATTTTATATGTAATCAGAATTTGGCGTCTAATATACGTATCTAAAAAAAAATTAAAATTGTCTGTATGTTTTATTAACCAATCAAAATTAATTATTTAAAAATTAACCAATCATATTCGATTACGTTAAGATTTATCACTTTTAATGGATGTTTTTTGCTGCTCGGTACTGTATTAAATTTAATTTAAAAATTATTTTTAAGAAAATCGTATAAACCATACCATGATATTTAACACAGGTATAACACAAAATTTAAATAAACATTGGGCAAAAAAACTTTTCCTTTCTGAAATATCTTTTGATTTATCGATTTCTAGTCCTAAGTTCAGTATATCACAATTAGGAGTGTTATCTGCTCATTCGGTTCTATTAACTAGTTTTTACAATAATTAAATATATAAGCCGGTCAAGCTGATAACATCCTTAATCGCAATTTCGATTGGTGCCTCGGCTAAACGGATTATGTAATACTTTTTATCCAGTAATATATAAACATATAAAACTAATTTAGAAGTAATCATCTTAGCAAGATTGACCTTTAAGAGAGTGCAGACGTAATTGCGTCATTAATTGCAATTCAACTCAATTCAATTCAATCATTCAATTGTACTTTATCAATTATATCAAAATTGAATTCCGTAAGTTTATTTTGTCGCAAGTTACAATTCACCTGTACCACTATATTTTTTATTTTGATATCAAATATTACACTTTAAAATGCACTTGAGAAACTTCGCTAAAAAATATTAGCTAAAAATAGATGTATGTAAAATGACGATCATCTTTCCACAATTAGTCAAAACCTTCACCTCGTTCTGTTCACAATATAAAAATGTATATTCTTGCTTATAAGTCAAATTAAAAATTTTATTTTTCAAATTGCATTGCTATTGGGCGATTGTTTGCGGTATATTAGATTTATACCAGTTCAAACTTTTATAACTTTATCGTAACAATTTGTATTGAAATTGATTTATGGGATAATTTTCCATAAATCGCAGACATCCCGATAGCACATGATTTTGGTTTTCGCCTTAAAATTTAAATGTGTACATATAAGGGAAAAAAATATAACCTATTTTGGTTGCAGATTCGGTTTTCTTTTCTTTCTTTTATATTAATTTTTTTTTTTTTAACGTTAAGCAAAAACCAAAAATGGAAGTTAATGAAAGAACAAACAGCGGGATTGTGATAATGTAACAGAACTGATTGAATGTTCATGTGGGACAAATATTCAACGGAATAATTAAGTACATATCAACATAAAATTCCATGATGAGAAAAAGCATCGTCAAAAACTTGTACTTTGATAAATCGGAATAGTGTAACCATAGTATCCTAAAGGAATAATAACAGCATTGAATATGCAAAAAAGAAGGCTTGATCATCATTTGTACGATCACAAGCTTTAATGCTCAAACAACGGAAAGTGCTACATGGATTAATTTTACGGAATAATTTCGTTAATGATTTCTTATATAACGCGTTTTATTTCCCACTCATTTATCCATCCACTTATTCACGGACTATTTCCACCGAAAAACATTCGATAATTTCTATAATATCTATTTTTTAACCTTTACCATTTTTATTGTAATTTATTATCATAGTAGTAAAGATGCCAAAAACTTTATCTCGCCCTAAAAAACGTCATCCACCATCAACTCATAACATCAACATTCATGAACTCGTCACAAGCATAAATGTACCATTTCCACCAAAAATAACGATTAAGGACCTACTTGCGAAAGTCACATCCCACGATAATAAACCTGGGAGAACACCTAATGCATTTATATCTTACAAGATGGTACTTCATCGCGCACTTAAATCGCAAGGCTGTAATTACCCAATTTCGGTTATTTCAAAGATAGCAAGTTTAAAATGGAATTATTATGAACCGAACCATGTTAAAAGCCATTATGTAAAGTTGGCAGATGAAGCTAAACAAGATCACAAAAAATCAGGTCCATTTTTTATTATGGCTCCAGATTGCAAAAGTAAAAAAGAGACTAATCCTAAAAAAGAAATCTTTGAAGTTGAGAGTGATAGTTGCAACGCGAGTATTCATTTGAATAATGGAGAACAAGGATCTTACAGTGATCAACCTTTTGAACAGCAAACAATGGATTTTTTAAACGGGTTTTCTGCTTTTTCTGCTCCATCCGTTTTAAATGAGTCTTCTACATTCTTAAATGAATCTTCTGAATTTTTGGATGAGTCTTCTGCATCCTTAAATGAACATTCTACATTTTTAGATGAGTCTTCTGCACCCTTAACACCAATTTCGAACGACTTTTTACAAAATCCTAATTTATATTGGGCATATTTCATAAATAACGGTTGTTTTTATATTTATCCATATCCATTCTACATTATAGACAATACTTGTGATCCGAATTGAAAATATTAATTTTGTATATATTGTATTAGGTTTTTCTTACTTGTTACTATTGATATATAAATAAAATAAAATAAAATTTCGTTCGATATTTTACTATTATTAACCTTCCCTTCATCCTCTTCATTTTTTCGAGAAGTCTTAAATCCTGATAAATTTAACATAAAATGTTTTATTCTCTGATTAAAATGCCATATATTATCGCATTATTATTACACCTTTGCTTCTCATAATGAATTACTTCCTCTCTCACATTGAGCCCGGAAAATTATAGGAATAATTAGCCATTTCTATGACCGATCAATGTATGAATGCATGTGATACGTGTGCACTTATTTGTGCGAGTGATACAAATCCAAAAAGGGAATTAGCTTCGGAGAACATGTAAAAAGTGATTATCCCGGATCAGCTCGACACGTAAACAAAGCGAAGAAAACACGAAACAAATGAAAAAAGCGAAAATACAAGAAAACGAGTATTTAAACCTGTATTGGAGCACTAATTAAAAATGACGGGAATGAAATTTTACATATAGGAAGTGAACATTTATTTTTATAGCATCTAACTTTAACGTTCTAACCCTAAATTTTTAAATTTACGAAATTGGTTTATTTTTACGTTGAATTTCGCACAAATAAGTATTTCCATATGATACTAACCCTTGGATTACCTAGTTTCATTATTATTCTATTTTACGAGTAATGGTAATACAACTTCTAAAAAGAAAACAGCCACTCAATGATTTCAATTTTTGGTTATCCTATATCAGATGTATAAGAGAAAGCGTAAAAAAGAATAGAAGATACTCAAAAATTAAATTTTAAAATGATCTTTGTGAACTAATTAAAATAACAGGAATAAAAATTTATATATACGTAACAAGTATCAGTTTGCTTCTATAACTCTTAAAGTTAATATTTTAACTTTATCCTTATAGTATAAAATTTGGTATTACAAGAACATCATAAAAATTTTCAAATTGATAAGTATTGATTGCAATTCAACATCATCGTCAAAAGAAGTTAAGATCAATAGAAATATAAATGAAATTAATAGTTATCATTTAGAATTGGCATTTTACTATATTTTTCTATTAGCATATCATTCGATTTATTTTTTTTATAAAAATATTTGTTACTAATGCTTTATCAATATATGGGCGCGCTTTGTAGTAGAAAAGGCCTAAATGCTTTATATATTATATATAGCATTTAGTCCTTTTCTACTGCAAAGCGCCTATATATTTAAGAGTAGAGGGTATTATTTTAAAATTACATATAAACTTAATGGCAATTTTTTTTTATACTGTATTTAATGTTATGAAAATTTTCTTAACTAAACTAATTTTAACTATTATGTAAAATTTGTAAAGTAGGTTTTCGAAATGTAGCAGGGTTTAGTTGGTCTTTTTTAAATTGTTGTGGATAGAGGGTAGGTTGTATAAGTCTAGGTTTAGATAGGTGCTGGTAGGAGCTAGATAGTGTTCAAATGATTGCTTAAAATAGAATTCTGACAGGTTCTGAACATTATATTCTTTTTCTGATAGGAGGGTAGAACAGCCTTTAACAGTACAAGTGTGAATATGATATAATGCTACTTTAAAGCATTGTTGAGATCGATCTCGTAGAGAGCTGATGTATGTGATCGAGAAATTGTTAGATAGAAGTGCTTTGCATGTTTTGGCTAGTTTAAGTGCAATTTTATGTTTGATATAGTTTTTAACTTTTTTCTTATCAATTTT